ATTTTTTCCTAAACACTGACTATGGTTTGTACTTATAAAAATAAGCTATGTGAAACTTTTGGATATGTGAAGTTAGAGCACAAATCTTTTAATAAATATAATTGTTCCAGGCTCATGTATATATCCAATAGACCTTTTCTTACTGTTGATTTATGATACCATCTTTATTATATGACATTCTGAGTGTCTGCTTCTTGGCTGTGTTCTTTATGGATCTAATTAAATCATTTATCAATCATTGATTATCATAATATTAAAATATTTTTATTTTATTTTATTTTAAAAAATGATAGCATAATTATATCCTTATAACATACCTTGGTATCTGCTAGAAAAGATACTACCTTTCAAAAACATCTTATTCTCACTTACTAAGCTTTCTCATTATATAAATTTTTTAACTTTTTGTCGATTACTCACCCTCTCAAATGTTTCATTTAAAACAAACAGAAAAACTCAAACTGAAGCCATTAAATTGACCCAGACTTCACTATTCCATAAGGTTTTCTTGGCTCTCCTTATAGAAAAGATTACCAGATCTTTCTTCTGGTGTTGTTGTTGTTAAGTGCCATTGAGTCAATTCTGACCCACAGCGACCCTGTATAGGTTTCTTCTGCAGCCCGACTAAATTTCACCACCAACCTTTAATGTTGTTGCTGTTGTTAGGTGCTGAGTCAGTACTGACTCACAGCCACCCAATGTACAACAGAACGAAACATTGCCTCGTCCTGGGCCAACCGCACAACTGTTGCCATGCTTGAGTCCTTTGATGCTGCCACTTTGCCAATCCATCTCGTTGGGGGTCTTCCTCTTTTTCTCTGACCCTCCACCTTATTTACCAAACAAGATATCCCTCTCCAGTGACTGGTCCCCATAAGCAAATGTAAACTGCTTACACTACTCAGGGACTTAATGTTTCATTAGACTTGCATTATACAAATTAATTTAGGAATTGATATTTTTATAATAATCTATCATGACAGAGAGTAGCATAGTATGTTTATCCTTAAATTTTGTTAAGACTATTCTGAGGTTATTTTTTGCCATTATGCTTTCTACAGTTTTGAGAGAACATAACTGTTTTTTGTGTATTTATGGAGTCCTAGTGTGGTGCTGTGGATTATAAAACAAGACCACAAAGTCAGTTTGAACTGCAAGGTCGGTGGCTCAAGCGCACCAGCTGCTCTTTGGAAAGCCTGTACAAGGTCGCTGTGAGTTGGAACCAACTCGATGGCACGCAACAACAATCTTGAATCTAGCCACTCTCACTAAACTTTTTATTAATTAGAATAGTGTCTCAGTAAGTTTCCTTAGCTTTTCTAGGTCTTCTACCTATTATCTTCAAACGGTATTCAATGTCTGCTATCTTTTCAATGGTTTCACTTTTCATTCCTACTATTTTTGCTAGAATTCCTACAACAGTGTTTAATTATGCTGATGAAGACAGACATGAGTAGTTTTTTCTTGACTTTATGGGAATGACTTTGGTTTTCTTTTTTAATAATGATGCCTGGCCAATGTCTTGTTACATGAGTCCACTTCTTCCTGTTTTACCATACTTGGTGACTCATTTCACAACTCCTCTTGTTGACAGCTGTTCTTACTCAGTTGAGGTGGCACTATTTATATTATCATTAAAGGAACAGGGATTCTGACTGCTGTTGGTGTGCTCCCACAGGTGTTGGTTAGTTTTACCTGGTATGCCAGAACCCCAAGAAGAGAAGGTGTATAGTCTCATCTATTTCTCAGCATCCATACAAAAAAAGATGCAGAACTCACCAACTATGTTTCTCAACCTAGGTTTTTTTTAATTAAATGTTTTTATTTTGCATTGAGTGAAAGTTTACAGGGCACATCATCAGCTTCACATTCAACCATTCATATAGCTTGTTTCATTACATTGATTATTATCCCCTCCATATATCATCAGTTAACAGTATTTCTCTCTATCCTCTTTAGCTTTTTTTTGGATGGGGCAGGGGGACTTGCCTTTTTGGAATTTACAGTCTCGGCTTTTAGGGAAGGTTTTTACATTTGTCTGTGGATATCCAGGGCTCATGTATGAGATTACTAACAAGCATTACTGAATAATCAGATGAGGGACAGTTTGCTATGTTACTAGGTAGCTAAAGTCTGATCCTCAGAGTCTATGGTTTGGACGGTCAACAACGCTTGGGCCCACAGGGGCTTGGCCTCCTGACCGGGTCTGCACGGTCTGCATCCGAATCCTCCTTATTTATTGTTTGTTTAAGGGACGCTGCCTGTCTTAGGCGGTCAGTGTGAATTCCTCAGTCTTACAACCTAGTTTTAAATGACAGGGATTCTTTGCAGATTCTTGTAAATGGCTGACTCAATTTTAGTTTACAGGATTCTTGCCTTTTTCTCTCTTTTTTAAAATATCTTCACTGATATTCTATTGGTAAAATGAAAGAACCATTAAACAGAATGGCTAGCTTGTTGCTTTGGGGACCTAACAGTCCATCATTTTCAAAAGTGTCAACTGAGGTACTTGGTGAATTAACTCAGTTTTAGTCATAGAACTGGTAATTAGTGAATAAGCTGATACACTACTGTAACACTAGTGTTCAGCAGAAACCATCAGGCTTCATACCTTAACAATCACTTTCTACCTTTATTTGTAACTGGCACTGAGTGGCAAAGCTGGAAATGAAAACCTTGGGTATCTCTTGGCTATCAGTATAATCCCATAAAAATTATAAAATGGTTACAAATATTCATTTTGACCAAAACAAGCCACATTTCCATCTCAATACAAAAAAAAAAAAAAAAGTTGTTCATAAAGGTGAATTATACATGTGTTTTACCAATATATAGACAAGATGTAATTAAGGTTAGACAGAGAGGAAAAAAAATTATACATGTATCGCATTTTCTTAGACTTTTAGATCCTTAGCTTAATTTGAAGTTATCTTTCGGAATAAGGAGGACATGTAGAAAAAAGTTCAGTTTTTATAGGTTGAGCATGAAAATATTTTTTATTTTACTTCAAACGTGGTAAAATAAAATTTTACTTCCGAAAACCAGACCTAAGCACCTGTTTCAATACGTAGTTAATCCCAAAATTATGACTCGCTATTCAATAAGCTATTTATTATGACAACAGACACTAACTCTATTATGCCATTTCAGTCTTCGGTATCAAATGAACATCACATTTGTTTATTCTACAGTATACCAGAAGTGAGACATGAAGGAAGCATTTTTGGATATTCTTTTTAAAGACTTATAATATTTACTCATGTTAAAATCTACTGAACATAGTGAACACCTAACATATACTATGTTAGGCATCAAAAGGACATAAGGAAGTATAAAACATGCATATATATGTTTAAAAACATGCATATAAATTAACTATGAAACAAGTACCAGATTTTTATATACTTCAGTTATTTTTCTGCTTATCTGTGGACAATTCGTCTGATTCAGGACAAGTATATCCTATATAAGATTCAAATCTATTCTTCCTCAACGAGAATTTTTGTTTCTTCATAAAGTATTTCTATTAGTTCCTTGCATGAGAAGGCCTGAAATATAGCAGCCAGCTCCCAGAGAATAAGCCAATTGAATAGGACTCATGAAGGCAGATGCTAATGTTTCCAAATATACACTAATGAAATATACACTAAGTTTATAGAAGGTGAATTATCTAACAATCATACACACAAGCAAGCCATGTGTTCACTTCAATCTGTGACATATCTAAACCACTTTATCTTTAGCTTCCTTTAACACTTTAGAGACAGAGACTACACAGCATAAGTGCCATCTAGTGGTAAAGAGTGTAACTGCACAGGAAGTCAGAGAAAGGAAACATTCCTAGCTGGAATAACAGGAAAGGCTTTATGGATGAGCAAGTAGATCTTGAATAAGATATAGTTATTTCAAGAGCAAATTGGATATCAGAATCATGAAGTATGTTCACAGGACAAGGAGAGATATGTCTGGCCAAAGCAGGCAGCTTATGCATAGTGGAATATAAGCCTAAAAAAAAGATGAGTCAGAAGGGAGAACTCTGGAAGAAAACAAGCTTGGTCTTTATCCTGTCTTCAGTAAACAGCAGCCATCCAGCCAATAAATATTCACAGAGTAATTACTATGTGCCAAGCACTAATATGTTAGCTTCTGGGTATACAGTGATGAACAACAACAACAAAAAAACATGATTCCAACTCTCATGAACTTCTAGCCTAGACAAAAATATTTTTTTTAATTGAAGCTTCAGAGAAGAAAAGAATTGGAGAGTTAAAAGACTTAGGTTTGAGAGGAACCTAGGACCATCAACGGAGAAGAGCACTAGTGGAATGCAGGACCCTATTCAGAGAGGCAGAGACACCAGAGATGGAGGCAGAGATGAAGACATGGAGAGATGAGCAGCTGAGGATTCTGGACTCATGGAAAGAGAGGGACTGGGTGCTGGTGGCCAGGAGGCAGGCTTGCAGAAGGTGCTTTTTGGTTGTTTAAATTATTATATATTTTTTAATGTTTTTATGTACAGCCCCCCTCAAGAAACAAAACAAAAGAGGGACTGGAAGCAAATACTGTTGAGTGCTGATACACAGAGCAGACTGGAATCACTGCAACGAAACAATGATGTAAATCTAATGTTCTCTCACGTAAACTATCCCTCAGTTCACAAAAAAAACTTAAAAAAAAAAACAGACTTAGGTTTGCTGTCCAACTCAGGCAGTTACAGCAAGTAACTGCGTGTCTTCTGGGTACAGAAAATGAGAACTGCCCTACTCGTTTTACAAGGCGATACTAAGGCTAAAACTGTGTGATACGAAGAAAGAAAGCTTTCTGAACCTGCAGAATTCTACACAAATGTAGGGCATAAAGATTAAAACAAGGTTTTAGGGCAAATATTAAAACAGGGGCATGCAAAATAAAACTGAAAGGAAGCAAGTCACTAAAAAAATAACTTGAAGAATTTTATCGACTTCAGTAAGCAATATAAAAAGAATCCATCTAGAGCATACCTGATATGGCAATCTTTCCTTTACAGGCTATTCGTTCTCGACTGTCAAAATTCACATCACTGTCAAAAGAAAGAACCTTTATTTTAAAAAGATCTTTTTTAAAAAACAATTGTTTTAGTAGTCTTCCACAAATGAATAAATTTTAAAACACATACCTATACATAATAATGACTTTCAGTTAATATAAATGATTTAACTCAAACTCTAAAATGTTTCATTAATGCTACCTGGATTTAAAAGAAATACACAAAATCATTCTCTTTATTTTTCATGTAAACTTTATATTCCCTGATGACTGCATACTGGCTTACTCAATAATGGAAGTTCTTTGTGATTATGTACTTACATAAGTAAGAAGTACAGTATCTGTCTATGTTCCAAGAAATATATTACCTTCGGTCACTATTTCATGAATTACATTTTCAATTTACCAGATTATAGTGGCCTGAACCGTGAACCCTAAGGTCAGAGGCAGCTCCTCATAAACTCTATACAGGGTTGCTATAAGTCGGGACTACTCAACAGCACTTAACAAGTAAATACTAAATGATAAGTAACTAAGATGGAAAAGAAATGGAGTGGCTCTGTAAAGAAAACTGGCACAAGAGGAAAATATTACATGACAAAAGAAAAAAATTTTCCAAGGAAATTGATATAAGACACTTCCATATCTGATTTCAGAGTACATAATTACTATGAATAAATAAATTGGTATCTCCCATACAAAAGGAAGATGAAAAGCTACCGTGGTACATGGGGGTAGGGAGAGACTGTTAGTGATTCCTGGAGGGATATTTAGAGTGAGGACTCCATTTTGAAAACAGTGCGATGGTTGCCCATTGTGAGTATGGTTAATGCTACTTAATTACACACACTTACAAATGGTTATATATGTTTTATCACAATTAAGAAAACCTCTTAAAAACTGTATTTCCCAGTAGGCGAACATAATCTTATCCTTAAATAACTCCCTGATAAATAACTTCCTAATAACCTGCAATTACAGACTAGCATTCTATTTTCACTTTTTATTGTGAATTGAGCGAAGGTTCACAGAAAAGACCGTTAGTTTTATATTCACCAAATCACGCACTTTGTTTCAATGATTGCAATCCTTTCCATGTAACATCAGTAATCCCACCTCCTTTCCCTGTGAGTCCTTTCCATTCCACCCTCCTTCCCCACCCTTCTGAACTCTGTCTTAAGATCAAAGCTGTCTTTTTTTTTTTTTTTTATCTTGAATGGCTGATGATTCTATGGTGTGTGTGTCTCACTAGTGTTATTGTTCTCCTATGTAACTATCTACTGTTTGTGTGAACACTGAATGAGGATGAGAGTTCAATTCCAGACCTGTAGGGTGATCACGGGCCGCAGTCTCAAATTTCTTCAGTCTCTCTCAGACCAGTAAGTCTGTTCTTTTGGGTAATTTTGGGTTTTGTTCTACATTTTCTCCCACTTTATTTAAGACCTTCTAATGTGATCCCTTTCAGAACAGTTAGCAGTCGGGTATCATCTAGTTCTCCTGGACTCAGATGATGTTTATGTATTCTATCAGCTCACTGGACTAATTGATTCCAAGTGTCTTCAGTTTACATCACTCTTCTTTCCTCCACACAGGAAGGGACCAATAGATGCACCTTAGATGATCACTCACAAACTTTTAATATTCCAGATGCTACTAACTGTAGAAGGATATAGACCATTGTGTCTTTGTGGATTATGTTACCACCTTCTATTTCTGAAGCAATCTTTTTAAAAGGAATTTTTACACCTTTTTCTTTGGTAGGGGAAGGGTTTCTATAACTGTCAATTCATTTAATTGTTGTTTTTACATCATCAGTTTTATATTCAACCAGTTAAATTAGGTACGCCAGACGTCTACTAAAATGGAAACTTCATTTTAATACCATTTGATTTCTAAGAAGGCTTTTGGAAAAAGAGCACGTAGGAGGATGGGTGTGAGAAGTCATCTCGCTCATTTCAGGCTTCCATGCTGCATGTTGGCAGCCTTCTGAAAAAGACTGGTGGCTGTGTGCTGTGGAGTCAGTTCCGACTCATAGCGACCCTGCACAGGGTTTTCCGAGGCTGTAAATCTTTATGGGAGCAGAACGCCTCATCTTTCTCCTACAGAACCGTTGGTAGTTTTGAACTGCTGACCTTGTGGATCACAGCCCGATTCGTAACCACAATGCTACCAGAGATCCTTTCTGAAAATGACTAGCACCTGTTTAAATTCGAAGATAATGTTACCCCCCCTTTTTTTTTCACTCCTTTTCTGTATTAAGCAAGAATGTAAGTATTTTGTGTGAAGTGCATTTCAAGCAAGTTAAATGATTTATTGAAGTACTTAAGTTGGTAAATTTATCAGGGATGTTTATATAGTATTTGTAAAAACCACATATTGTTGTTGTTGTTGACAAGTGCTGTCAAGTTGATTCCGACCCATAACGACCCTGTATAGGGTTTCCAAGGAGCAGCTGGTGGACTTGAACCACCGACCTTGAAGTTCAAATGACTTTGCAGTCTGATGCATTAGCCCACAGAACCACACCAGGACTCCACATATTAGGTGTGACTAAGTACAATAGATTTAAAGCTATATTCGCACAATCCTATCTAATTACTTTATGATCACAACTGGTATGTAACTTAAAAAAGAAAAGACATTTATGTGAAAAATGAATTAACTGATTATTTCAGAATACTGTCCTAATAAATCATAAATTTAAAAAGAGTCAAGTTCAATATTTTCTATGTTCTACATGACCTTGTGTGGAACCCTGGGGGGGCTCCATAGGCTAAGCACTGGATTGTTAACCACCACCAGCTGCTCCTCAGAAACCCTACACAAAGTCTATAGGATTAGGAACTAACTTGGCAGCACACAACAACACTCGCTTGCTTAGCTTGTCAGAGTGAAAAATTTTAAACTGAATCATCTATCTTATATTTTGGTGAAAATAATATACTGAAAGGCCACTTGAAATCAAACACAAATCTTAATTTCTTCAAATTGGTACAAGAAATAAAACATAAAAATACATTTGTGTTTATATCGTTGGCATATCATTTCAAAACATGACTTTTGTATTAATAATGTACAATATCATAAAACATAAATTTTTATAATCCATATTTTAGTGAAAAAAGGCTAAGGCTAAGTCAGAACCGACTTGACGATACTTAACAACAACAGTAACAGTGAGTGGAGTCCTGGGGTGGCACTGTACAATCAACACTGGACTGCTAACCACAAAATTGGTAGTTCAAACTCATCAGCCTCTCCTTGGAAGCCCTATATAGCATCACTATAACTCAGAATGGATTCAATGGCACTTAAAAACGTCAACAGAGTGAGTAACTTGAATCTTACAGAACAGGTCACTGTTGTTGTTAGTTGCCATCGAGTAGATCCCTGTTGTATGAATGAAACACTGTCCTGTCTTGCGTCATCCTCACAATTGTTACGCTTGAGCCCATTGCTGCTGATACTGCGCTAATCCATCTCGTTGGGGGTCTTACTCTTTTACGCTGACCTTCCACTTTACCTAGTGTAATGTCCTTCTCCAGGGACTAGGCCCTCCTGATAATATATTCATATCCAAAGTATGAGAGACTAAGTCTTGCCATCCTGGCTTCCAAGGAGCACTCTGGTTGCACTTCTTCTAGAACAGATTGGTTTGATCTTCTGGCAGCACATGGTATTTTTAATATTCTTCTCTAACACCATTACTCAAATGCCTCAATTCTTCTACAGTCTTCCTTATTCACCATCCAGCTTTCAAAACTTTCATGAGATTACTAAAAATATCATGGCTTGGGTCAGGCACACCTTAGTCCTCAAGCTGACATCTTTGCTCTTCAACACTTTAAAGAGTTCTTGTGCAGCAGATTTGCCTAATGCAATACCTCATTTGATTTCTTGACGGCTGCTTCCCTGAGTGCTGATGGTGGATCCAAGCAAAATACAGTCTTTGACAACTTCAATCTTTTCTCCATTTATAGCATGTTAAACTTGCTGTTTTAAGAGCCGTTGAGTCACTTTTGACTCATAGATCCATTAAACCAAAAAAGCCAAATCCATGGCCAGCAAGTGGATCTCAACTCATAAAGACCCTATCTGACATCTCTTAGACTACAAATCTTTACAGGAGCTGACAGCTCAGAGTTTTTCTCACAGAATGGCTGATGATTTTGAACCACTGACCTTGTTGGTTAGCAGCCCAATGCCTAACCCACAATATCACCAGAGTACTATCAAACTGAATTATATGTGCAGACTTGGCATACAAGTGAAACTATGAACTACCACAAACTAACTTACTGAATATTTACCACCCCGCACCAATAACTGTTTTCCCTTCCAACTACTCAACCACATGACAGAATACAGCTTTCTTATCTGCAATGAAAACTTACATGAAAAAGGCATTTCTAGGGTCAGCCAGCAAATTTATTATTATATGCAAATATCATCAAAACAAAACATGAATCAAATTTACCATATCTTGTACAGAAGAATTAAGGCTGCCTTTAAAAAAGCTGAGTAAATGAACAGAATTTGGCTTCAATTTTCTGAGGCTTATTTTCAATTCAATTATCTCTCAAAACTGCTAATTTTAGTGATGTTTTTCTAATCAGTCCAAACTGACACTAAAATTGTTAAACATTATCTGTTTAATAATGTGCTACTGTAGCTAATAGTTTGCTACAGTTAAAGAATGCTTGTTGGAAAATCTGAGATGTTAATGCCAGTTCAGAATGCTATAATTAGAAAGTCAGTCTGTGGAAAAAGCAAATAACCACAAGATGACCCAAACAAAAGTAAGCTAAATCATACTGTATTTCATTCTATGAACCCTGTTTATACAGTTATCTGGGTAAAACCAGTAAAGCTAAATTTAGAAGACAGGGCTAAGCATATAATGACAAATGTTGAACTTTTGTTTCATTATTCTGCCTGTAGGTAAATAAAATGACCAAAAGAGGGTGCCAATTAGCCACTTTGTTGCTCAAGAGCTATTTAAAAATCAGTTGAGTAAATGTAACATTGCCAAGA